TTTTAAATCTAAGATTTGAAAATTTTTAATAATCTATGATATATCCTAGACAGATAAACCGTCTTCGCTCAGAATCGTTTTTTGTATACAATGATATAATATCATTGGATTCAAATTTAATTCCATCCATTACAGTAACCCACTTGTAACCTACTATACAGCAGAGCGACATACACGACTTACCCGCTTTTTTTTCTTTCAAAACATGTGCTTATTGTACCRAATTTTTKTTAGATTGTGTACTTTTCCTTTTCTAAATAAAAAAAGTACTTATATATTTATAATCGTACACWTAGAAAAATTATCTTTGATGCTTGTTGTCCAAACACTATAGATCTGTAGAAATTTCAATTAAAAAAATACTGTCGCACCCCCTTTAAATATAATGATTCCATAACATATAAAATATATKTATATTGTATAATAATAATGTATCCAACCAAATCAAACTTAATAATTATACCAATTAATCATTAATTTATGCAATAACCAATACGTATTACTCATATTAATGTTTTTATAGATGTATATTAATATACAATATACGTAAGGCGAACATTTTTTAATTTAAATATTTTGTTCACTTAAAAACAATTAACTTAAAGTGATTGTGAAAAAAGAATATAAGTAAAAGTCTGTGAGAAGTATAACTTAGTTTCAATAGTTTCATAGATATTGGTTTTTTAAGTTTGTTTTACATTGKTTACTAACATAATAAGAACTTACCTTGTTGCTTTTTTCGAGCCTTGTCACATATAGCTGGTCTTAAGTGAACAGTGTCTCCTGAAGGAAGTACACACCTTCTTGAGCATAGCAAAACACCCAAACATGATTTCTTTAATATGTGCACATTGTGATTGTTGGTGTTTCTCATTGCCCATCCAGAAGCATGCCTCTTTGCTTCTTCGCAATTTGGTGGGTATACCAAGCGACAATGCCCGTCAGCCCATTCTTCCCATAAGTTAAAGTTACTTACCTAGATAATATAAAAACATAACACTGACAATTGATAAAATTTAACAAAATTCACAAATTATCATAATATTAAAGAATTGATTTGTTTATACTATATAATAACTACCTACAATAGACTTAAAATATCTATTTTTAGACCATGACTTTTTTACATAAACAATTTTAGTTCAAAATTGGACAAAAATGATAAAATTTAACAAAATTAACACATAAAGATCAGAAAATAAACAATAAAAAAAATGTAAATAGTGCAAAAAAATTCAAATGTATTTTTACAATAAGCAGTAATAGAATTGGAAAATAATAATAAAGGAAACCAGAAAAATAGAGTAGGTATAAGTTCAGTCCAACATGTTAAAAAATCRTTTTTATTAGATAGAGTTTAAGTAGACTAACCTACATTTTTTTAAACAAAGTATTTTATTCATTTATAATTATGTTATATTATTTTAGAATTATCAAAAAAAATCTATGATATACATTAAATTCGATTACACAACACATTGCAAAACATGTAACCTAACTAACGTGTTTGTGTAAATTTGTAATRTGTTTTATGTATGAAGTTTCAAGGAGTACCTAAAGCTCTGGAACCCATGATTTTCGTAAGACAAGTACACCCTCAAAGTCAAAGCTATCGATTGAACACGAAAATATAATTTTTCCATGAAATATTTTAAACCCGTTGATTATTAAAATTAAACTATTAATAAATATATTGATTCAAMATTTTCATTTATAGAACATAATATCAATTAAAACCAATTCACAACACATGGATACTTATAATATATACTTATCGTAGGTTAGATTTTCTTACTCGTATTCTTTGTCTTTTAATATAATATCTATTTTWAAATTGTTTAAAACATTAAAACCTAATTTTACAATAAGTTGTTCAAGTTCTTACGTAAAAATGTAAATATCCAATATTTAATTATAACCTAACGATGACTATAAATAATGTTGTTTTTAAATACATACTAACACTGCCTATATATAAGTTAGTTGACATAATCATTTAAAATTTATTACAGTTTAAATTGTATCATATTTCTAAAATGCTATGTCAACATTTCATCAAGTCATGTTGAAATTAAAATAAAATAAAATATTTAAAGTGACACCTGCATTAAAATATATTTGTTAGAAAACATAATATATCTTATAAAAATAGGTTTGTTTATAAACATCATAATTATTAAATCTTAAAATTTAAAATTTCATATTTAATATAATTAGGTATTATAGATACCCATCACGTTCTATAATATAGATGTTATGTTGTACTGTAATGGTCAACAGTTCGTTTAAAAGGATGCAAATAATAAATAACGTAATACGCAAAGCGTTATTTTTACTAATTACTACTAAAAAAATTGTATACAAAACAAAATTTACCCTTGGAATTATCGAATCGTTAATGTCCCAATCTGCAATTCGAGAAATAGATTCTGCAGGAGGTCTTCCACGGGAGTAACTATATTCATTGCTCATGCTTTGATTTTCGTATTCTTGTTTACTAAAATATCACAAATAAAACTTTACAACAAGTTACTATTTATAATTTATAAATCTAAGAAATATATTGTACATTTGTACAATATATTATTATATTCTCTTGACTGTTACAGGTAATATTATTGATCTTTGGTTTTCAAAATATTTATAGACTTCGTAGAATACTATATTTATTAACTTACTAGGTATTACCTATCTACATTTTTAAAGCAAAGCGTTGTCGTACGGATAATTGATTTAGATCCCATAAAACTATTGACAATAAATTACTAAATCGTAGATTCGGGAAAAAAACAGTTTAATTGTATAACATAAACTGCAGTATGAAAGAAACCAAAAATAAAAATGTACCAAAAGCAAATAATCTAGATATAGGTAGTTTTAAATAATATTTATATTAGACTTAAAACTTTATTACCTAGTTATTTTTCTTTGATAAAAATTGATACAATACATTTTTAAAAAAACCCAATATTCATGAGGTAGGCAGATATTCATAGATTAGTAATGGTTATTAACAGATTTTAAATATTGTTCATACAGTACGTTAAAAATTAACTTTAATAAAGTTAAGGTAAATTATTTATAACTATCTAGCTATTTAAAGATAATTTTTAAACATATCATATTATTTAAACTAGTAGGTAATTTTGTATAGATAGATTTGCTTAACTAAACGAAAACTAATGTATTCATAAAATGATTTTCAAAATTATAACAATTATTTACAATCACGCGTTTAACGTCTCTCAATAATTGTACTAGACGTATGACGATATATTTGTATATACAATTAATAGAGCTACGATATTAGGATAAACGATAATAATAATAATACATAGATAAACAATTGAGTTGTTGACATGGAAAAGGTACTAAGTCATAATTGAGGCGTTGACATGGAAAAGGTACTAAGTCATAAAAACCAAATTTTACAGAAGGAAAAAACTGATTTTAGCAAACCACGATGATTTACAACCAGTGCCACTTGTGTTCAACATAATTATTAATATTTAAAGAAATTTGAGTTAGTTCTTTTTCCAGGCCATTRGCATATGTATTTAGTACCTTTTCAACGAAAAAACGAAAAATTGATTTTTTTTGACTTAGTACCTTTTCCATGTCAACGCCTCAATTATTATTACGATAATAAGCTTATAGTATACCTACTTATTTACTAATTATATATATGTATATATATATATATATATATATACCGTATATAAATATCCACGGGACACTTGAGATGCCTAATAATATTGCATCCAAGCATAATATTATTATTATATAATGGTCTATAGACAAATAAGTCACCTACCTACTTGATAACACAATATAAGACACAAAACAAAACTATCACCATGTCTTTAATCGCTACTATACGACACTAAATTAAAGATCCACTATAAAATAAAGCACAAAATGTTCTCGTGTCGAAACGCGGAAACGGACAGAAAAATGTATAATAATGGTTTACTCACAAAATGACGACCATAATCGAAGTCTGGCGTGCCCTTTGTCGGTGGTCTCGGATCGCGCGTGCTGCTAGTTGCGGCGGTTTTACCGACACTTATCGCGTCGGGTATGATTTTCGACGGTGGTGGTTCCGGTGTTATAATATTACTATGTTTAGGTATTTAAAACGACGGTGACGTGACATACAGAGTCGTTACGCCGATAAAACGTTGACGGGCACCTAGGCCGGATATCGTTATCAAGTAATAATTACGAGTTTGAGAATCGCGGTTATTGTACTATTTTTATAATAGTAAGTTTACTRTTTAATCGTTTTTGTAATCAACCTCGGATGTCGGTCGATCGGTGGTGATGATAGCGTATTAGAGAAAACAGTACGAAAAGTGATAGCGCCAGGGCGAGAGAAAAAAACGCCGGTGGATGGGCGAGCAGACGCAAAGTCAAAAGGAACAAACGAACGCGGTGCATGCGAAACAATCACTGATCGACGACGGCGTTGATCCTGTTGCTGGTCCGGACGGAGTTACATCGAACCGACGGCGGCGGCGGCGACCCTCGGGTTTTGCATTTTGGGCCGTACGCTCGTCAGCCAATGGGAACGCAGACCGAACCCACCGATTTTAAAACGGTAGTTACACATGCGGACCCGCTAATCCGTTAACGCCGCTGCCGCCAACGTCGACGACACGTCACACAGGTCATAATAATATACTCATTTCTATATCATTATTGTACCTCTATATATTATTTTACATAACATTATTTATATTTATATTAAATTGTAATAATAATAATATGGGATGTACGTCTGCGAGTTGAATCATCTGTACTATCTATATACTAAGATACATGACATATTGTATTKTATATTATACAGATAGTAGTTGTACAAACTACTCGCAAAGGTAAGTTATATAATGTTGTGTACCAGCCACCAGGCACAGAGGTACCTGTATATAGGTACCCTACCCTTCGCGTAATTTATTATACCCACACCACGATACTCGGGTGTACCTACCTATGTACTTTTGTGATGTCTTTATAAAATAATATATTATTATGTTATAACACTGGTTACTGGTATGCGCGTAATATTGTATTGCTGAATGTTATATATTGTAATATCGATAGTGTATGTGAGCGCCATGCACGTGGCTTCTTGGCGGGTCTTTTATTTTTTTACATAATATGTAGATACACAATTATTGATTATATTATAGCCATAAAGGTCGAGTGAGGATTAAAAAGACTGGTAGTCAGAACATTACTGTCGATACCTATAACAATAACAGTAGGTACCTATAACAGGGTACGGATGATCTCGTGGAAATAAAATAGATAAACTCAATGCAGAATTTATTTAATTTTGATTCGCTGTAGTATAAATTGTGAKTATCACAATTTATCGTGGTCAGTGAACAGTGGGACAGTAGACACACATTTAGACTCCTKGATATTTAGTATAATATAGGTAGGTACTATTTACAATTTACTTGATAGTTTATTTTTCTATAATACCCATACTTAGATTCATAATTGAGTATAACCTAAACTATAGCCTATCGGACAGGTATATAGGTAATATGTATCTGGTATGAATGGTAATACTGTATCAGTTACAGTACAATGTACACACTACACGYATAGTCAAATGAATAACCTTATTAATTCTTTTCTATAGCATATAGGAAAATATACCTCCCTCCATATATTGACAAAAAAAAATGTAAATGTTGAATTAWGTTAATCACAGCACCTATATATCATTATATATAATAAATATTAAATTCAGTTAACGATTTTCATTGTCCCATTCTTAARTAGGTATTAGGTATAAGGTAAATTTATATATATTTATTATTTATTTATTTATATAATTTATATATAATATTATATAAATACTACCTTTATATCATTGTATCTATTATAATATTTATATAAATTCTCTACGATAATCTATTTCTTGTATTATAAATCCATATCACTGCAAGTTGTATTTATTATATTTTTTTTTWAATATTAGTGTTGATACTTAAGTATTTAGTKTTTTATAAGTTATAAGTTATAACCAATTAAAAACAGTTAATGTACTCAAAAAACTTMTTTTATGATAGTACATATATTTTTTTTTATGTTCTTTATTTTGAACGTCTGAGTTGTTCCCTTAACAAAAGAGTCTAGTTTTGATAATCTTCATTGRTTATTTACATAAAGTACGTTACCCCTTTGATTACAAGTAACTTACACGTGAAATTGATATCTTATTGGTAGAAATAAAAACCTGATACGACCGAGTGTTCATAAAGTTGTCTACAGGGTGACAATGTGGCGCCAAAGTGAGAACCTCATCTTCCTGTGATCACCCGCATACCGATGTTTATCATTGCGTAATAATATGGATCGTTAAGTTTTTTTTGTCGAAACATTATTGTTTATAAGCCCTTTTGCACAGACATTATCAATATATTACACTGTTGTTTCTTATGTGATTTAAACAGCTACATTATTTTAGATCWTGAACGACTGCAAAAGAAGGAAAGACACAGAATATAGGTACTTCGATAAATATTTATTTATTTCAAATATACGGASAATACGTCAAATAGAATATGATAATGTATAGTGCAATTTACAAAATAAATGATAACATATTTAGTAGGTACTAGAAAGATTTTGAACTGGATTTAACAGAATATAGGATTATTTGTTTAATTTTACTATTGTTCTATTATRTTTTAACTTTTAAGTTGGAATACTGTAATAGTATTTCAATAAACCATATTATATGATATAAGTCTAGAGCTTGAATTTTAATAACGAAAATAGCTCTTCTTTTTAAAAAATCATTGAATATTTATAATTTTTTTAAGTCTAAACAAATTTAGTTACTTCTTACCTAATACTTATATCAGTTATATGCAAGTTATCTGTATACACAATTTAAAGAACGTATTAAATTATATAAGGTCATTAAACGGGTAGGTCTCTACAATTAATTTGCGTATTTGCTGATTTATGGTGCGCGATTCAATGATAAATTATGCTTTAAAGTCAAACATTATTAGCACACCATAAAATAAACGGCACATAATAACATTTTTTGCGGTCGTTTAAACCATTAGAAATAATTTCACTGCAGTCTGCAAGTCTGCAACGTCTGCAACAGCAGTCTATCTCATACGGCTAAAACAACCACAGGAGGCGGAGAGGGTAGTGGTCACCAGAAATTTAACCCAATAAACCAAATATACACCATGGTGTACCTTAGTGGCTTAGGGCTAAACGTACCCTTCCCTTTTCGGACGATTCACTTTTCGACCAAATTTAWAAAAGACTGATTCCCTTTATACGACCAAAAACAAAATTTTTTGTAAAATTATGGCAATTATATAATTATGTAATTTTGACAAATTATTAAAAGTATAAGTTGGTACTAAATAGTACCAAGAAATTTGAATTCGATTTCAAAAACCTTCAAAATTTAAATAAATGAAATAATAG